TGGGAACCGGTTCTCAACAAGAACCGGTTTTCGATACCCATCCCTACTGAGCACTGCTGAGCACATCTGCAGCCTTTGGACTGCTGGATTAGAGGAACTTCTCGTCTTCTATTTGACAGGAAGCATCTGTTTACCATCTTTCCCAGCCTAGGTTTTCTTCAAGGACACTTTGGCTATATTTATCCTTTTCTAGATTATGTACACTCATAGCACCATCCCGCCACCTCCTCATTGCATTATGAGGGTTTTATCAGGAATCCAGTGACAAGTGATCAGAGTATTTTTGGAATTCGACTCATAAGATCGAGAATCTGTGTGCTGTGAGTTTGAATGCTGTTTAGTAAACTCAAAGTAGGTTGTCAAACTGAATTCATAATCCATTCCCTTCACATACAAGGTCTTGAATAATCAGGCACCATTTTATCTTAAAGACCCCATAATACCATACCCACCACTCTAGAGCAGTTCACTCAGACTGCAGCCTCAGTTGTTGTTCTTATCATATATTTAAAAGTAGAAAAGCAGCGCCTTCAGCTTCCAGGATCCTCTTCTGTGGAACCAGCTCCAAGTTTGGATTCATCAGACAGACACAATCTCTCCTTTTAAGATTGGATTAAACTTTACTTTGTGATAATGTAGATAGTTGGCACTGGATCAGGTGACCCAGAATCCTGTCTTAGTTACACTGCAATAGGCCTAGGCTGCTCGAGGCTACCCATGATGCAATGAGTGTTCATCCACCTTCTTTTCCCCTCACTGTGTTTTTATACACCTCTCTGCATTTAATCATTAGTTGTTAATAATCTCTTCCACAGCATGTCTTTTGTCCCATCTTCCTGGTTCTGCCAGTGGTTTCTTCCTGTTAAAAGGGAGTTTTATCTTCCCACTGTCACCAAACAGCTTGCTCACAGGGGGTCATTTGATTGTTGTGGTTTTCGCTCTGTTATTGTAAGGTTACCTTACAAAAATGAAGCGCCTTGATCAACTGTTGTGACTTGGCTCTATATAAATTAAACTTGAACTGAATATTACTCTGAAGGCCTGAGTGATGGAGCTGTGGAGATGGCAGTTTTTTTCCTGCAGCAGTTTAGCTGCAGTCAGGATGGAGTGAAAGGTTGGTCTCCTCCTCATTCAGTCAGCTTTCTGGATCCATCATAAACAGTAAATGTGGTGCTTTTGCATCGTCCCCCCCACTGAAATTCCTGTCAGGGCTCTACCAAAAACCAGTTCCAGTCTGTGGTGCTCTGTTTTAAACATTTTCTGATCAGAGTATCTGGGTGGAAAAGTTCATTGACCTTCTTAGAATTGCATCATTTAAAATCCATACTCTAGTACTATACAAGTGTAACTATTCCACATAAAATATTTTTGTCATATTGCTGTAGGCCCTGTGATTTGTACAAAATAAAGGTCAATAGGATGGAATAACCAAACTTGATTTTTCCTATATAAATTCGATTGGTTTAACCTTTACTCCGCAGTAGCTCAAGGGAGTCATTTAAGACAAAGTTCAGTGTCAGACAACATTTAGAAATATCTTATCAGAGTTCACTGATCTCTGCCTGTTTGTCAAGTTTTATGTGTTTTTTTTTAAAACAAAAAAACCAAAAAAACAACTGAGTGTGACAGAGTTTGTCTGATTTATGTCAAAGGTTGTGCAGGTTAGTCACCCCGCAAGCCTGCCTGGAGGTTCCTCTTATTGTGCACAAACGTGGTTATAAGGGCACAACGGCAGCTGCTACATTAACACTTCAGCACTTCAGGGCAGTGTTATGCAATAAAACAGTGTGTGTCATCAGTACACAAACAGATAACACAGTGTCTGCTTTTACCTCTGTACAAAAGTCCAGTTAGGTAACAACAAATCCCTACATAAGAAATACAGTAGATGTTGAAAGGTCAATATCCAGACTCTGTGATATCGGACCGGTATGGATTAAAAGAGCTTCAGTCCAATGTAAAAACAAAGGCCATTACAGTAAAATGTGCATGTTATAGTTAACTGTCCAAAGAATTTATTAACGAATTAAGAACACAGTGAGTAGCACATACTCTCTGTATCACATAGTGTCACTGTAAGAGGTGAAGGTAGCTGTGCTAAAGATGAAAACTATCTCTTCAAACGTGACGTGACGTTTCCGAGTCCGTCCCTGAGATTAGTGTCTGTTAAGATCCATTATTGTTATTTCTTTGCAAACAAAGTGGCTCAGCAGTGACTACTTTAGTTTCTGTGTTAGAGTTTGACTTCCTTTGAGACGACTGCTCTGTAGATTTCTTCAGTCAAGGGCACATAAGTCTTTTTTTCAGGATCCAGGAAGTATAGAGGATCTTTGATGTGAGCTGGGTTGAATCCTTCCTCCACCAACTTCACTTTCTTCATCTTGAAGGTTCCCGTCATCTCCAGGCAGGGCTGCAAAACACAGTTTGAAAGATGTTTTTGTGTCAAGCTTTAGTGTAGAACAAAACAAAGAAAACCAAAACATAATTAAGATAAACCGCCAATAACAATGCTGTCAATCAGATCAGATATCCGCTACAAACTGCAAAGCAATATTACACAGTTATTATTAGAGGACGGCAACATTAACTTAAAAGAGAGCGGCATGCAGGGATCGTCAGCATATCTTGAAGAGATAAGAACATGCCGGTGCTTCTATCGGTCAAAAACGGGAAACTGAAGCTATAATTCACACTGACAGATCAAAGTTCCCTTGGAAGATTGGAAAAACATCTTCTGGTCTAATGAGCGTCTTATTCTGCTGCAACAGTCAGATGGTAGGGTCACAATTTGGTGGAAACAGCATGTAATCATTGCTCCTTCATGCATTGGATCAACAGTTAAGGATAGTTTTGGTGTAATAGAGTGGGGGATATTTTTTTGGCTTACTTTGGGACCCTTAGTATCAACAGAGCATCGTTTAAACACTACAGCCCATTGTTTCTAATGTCCATCCCTGTATGACCGCAGTGTATGCATCTTCTGATGGCTTCTTCCAACAGGATAACGCACCATGCCATGAAGCTCATAAGATCTCAATCGGTTTCTTTAACGTGACAGTGAGTTCACTGTACTCAGATGGCCTCCACAGTCACCAGATCTCAATTGAGTAGTGTGTTTGAGATGCGGTGGAACGGGAGCAGCAGCTGTGTGATGCTGTCAGGTCAACATGGAGCAAAGTTCCTGACAAATGTTTCTGTCACCTTGTTGAATCTATGCCACAATAAATTAAGGCAGTTTTGGGGGTAAAAGGGGGTCTGTGGTGAATGTATATTAGAGTAATTTCCTTGGTACATAAATCCAAATATTTCATAGTTAAAGTAGCTGTAGAACGGTCCTGTACTGCACTTTCTTGGGAACTTTCTTTTTAATCATCTCCAATAATTTTATCTGGAGGGCACATCCTCTACGGTTTTACTAAGTCATGAAAATATTTGCCAGAGTCAGCATTTCTTGCAGCTGTCCCTAACCCTGAAGGAAGTGTTGGGGTTACATCACTGCACTGCCTTCCTGTTTGGTTCAAAGGAAAAATCTGAAATTTGTCTAGAAAAAAACAACATTGGGACCCAATGACACATCTGATTTCTGATCTGCATTATTGGTGATCTTACACAGTAAAAACTCAGACTCGGATCCACGCACCGCTTCAGCCATCTGGATTTCAGACACCAAGCGTTTAGCACGTTTAGCCTTTGAGCATGCACTAATTAAAGGTGGAAAGGATGAACTCCGTAAGTACAGCAGAATCAGACCACCAATTAAAACAATATCTTTAAGCCATAGCAGCCCGTCTGGTCTGGATGTGCACGTATTATTTATTTATATTTATTACCTGAATCCTGATGAATCTGGGTCTCGCGTAAGCTGGGAGGTAGTTGACGACCTGCGTGTACGTGGCCGAGCAGTCGAACTTTTGTCCTTCTTCCAAAGTGAGAGCTGCCATGCCGACTCGCCCTTCATGACCTTGATTGAAAAATGAGAGAAATATGAAATGCAAAGTGCAGACAGCTCTGTAAGGTTTTAATATTTATGACCCGAGTGCGTTTACCTTCAATTTTCACACCATAAACATTCGCCTCTAATATGCAGTGAACCATTGTGAGAATGTCTGCAACCTCCGATGTGGCGACGTTCTCTCCTTTCCACCTGAAACAAACAACATGAAAAGACTCCAATGAACAATTTCTGCAGTACAGTTTGAACCTGATCTGCAAGTAAACACCTGCACAAAAGGAAAAAAAGCCATTTTTTTTAATTGGATATTTTTATACTTTTAATAGCTGAGAACTAAACCAGACCAAACGGTGACTCAGTCTAGACTAGATCGTCTGGGCAGAACCACAAAAACAAAGCGACAGGTCAACACAAAAATGAGTCACAACTTGCCTGAAAGTGTCGCCGACTCGATCCTGAAAGTACACAAAGTTCTCTTTGTCGAACCGAAGCAAATCGCCGGTGTTGAAGTACAGGTCGCCCTTTTTCAGGACGTCTCGAAGCCGCTTCTTCTCCGTCTGCTCCTTGTTACCAGCGTAGCCAACAAAGGGGGACCTCTTTGTTACCCTTCCCACTAAAAGTCCCGTTTCACCTGGTAGAGACATCGGGAAACAAAATAAATCAAAACTCCTTTTTAATTTCACTTCTATCAAACTAAAACTCCTTTAAATTTAACCAGGTTTCTCTTTACAGACTCACCTACGGCTGCTTTGATGCACAGACCCTGCGAGTCCCTGACAGGTTCCTCCTTCTCAATGTCAAACTTGATCAAAGTGTAGGGGAAGAAAAACTGGAAAGGAAGAAGGAAAGAAAACCCACCAGTTAAAATGTTTTAAAAGTAGTGGAACAGCCAACATGGCAGCAACTCTGTGAGGACGCACAAACATCAACATGCTTGTTTCATGCTTGTTTCAGGATTTCATAAAAAATAGGATTTAGGCTTATCCATGTAACTTTTCTAAGTATTGCAAAGTTGGTTCACTTCTTACAGGGTTACATCATCACTCTGACTTACACTATAAACCTAATCTGCTCTGGAACAGGTTATGAGATAAAATCAGATATGTCCTGTGTATGCTGATCTTGCTTCATAGTACAAGGCCTGTCTCTATCTGAGGTCCAGGTAAGTGATTGCGCCAAGAAATGAGGTTGATTTTTAACAGAGAAAGTTTTAGAATGTAAAGTGCTTAGCCAAGAGAAGTGATTTGAATGATCTGATCATTTAAAAACACTGTACACATCATGGCCTTCATCATTTGTGCGTACAGAGAGTCTGAGACTCTTCTTCATGGGGGACAAACACAGTCAAGTTTTGCTTAAAATATCTGTATGCACTGTTTGTCCAATCAAACGGCCACCACAACTTTAAATGTAGTCACCCTTTGCCCGTTTAACATTTTGTATCCAAGAATCCATGTGTGGGTGTTTATTTTCAAATTCAACTCACTCCTGTAGCTGTTGATGACATTTTGCTCCAATTTAATTTAAATGCGATCAACCAATGTAAGCTCCAGATATTAACACAGACATTGCACCACACTGTGAAAACATGTGACTTGCTTCCTTTTCCTACCCGGTGCACAAAGTTGACTCGTCCGACTGCGCCGATCTTGGACGTGTAGTTGACGAAGCCGATGTTTCCCTCTGTGGCAGCGTACAGCTCTCTAACTTTAATGTCTCCAAAGCGATGAAGAAACTCGGACCAAACGTCCGTTCGGACACCGTTGCCGATTGCAATTCTCACTTTGTGGTTCTTCTCATCGTCTTTCTGCCAAGAGCGGGATGGACACAGAGATATTCCACCATTACGACGGCGGCTGACTGACGTAGCTGCAGACTGATTAGGTTTCCTCTTACCTTGGGCGTGTTGCAGAGATAGCGCAACGTTTCGCCGATGTGCTGCATCACCGTGATGTCATACTTCCTGCAATCATCCCAGAACTGGGAGGCAGAAAACTTTCTCTTCAGGACTATGGTAATACCTGCAAGTCAAATCATATTACACAACCTTTATCTTCCTTAACCACTTAAGCTCCTGACCCAGGCGTGCAGATGCTTTTGCTCTTGCACTCTTGAGAGGATTAAGAGGATCATTACCTCTCTCGATGGCTCCAGTCATTCCGATCAAGAAGCCGGCGCTGTGATAGAGAGGCAGATTGATGTAGAAGATGTCCTCTGCTGTGACTCCACATATCGACTGGAGGAAGGAGGCGGCCCACACCCTCTCATGTGTGACAATGGCTGCTTTAGGCAAACCTTCCAAGGGAAAAGAATAACAGATTGTGCTTTTGAATTAAAGAGGAACAAAGTAGTATGATGCACTTCACTGTGGTTCATTTATTGATCCTGAATCTTCTAATGACTGCACAAAGCAACATTTAATCTTCTCAGCAACAAACAGTCCCAAGTAGATGGTGATTATAATGGACTCTCAGCAGCTATAGATGCTGACTTTTTCATAATGAACTGGTGCAGATAACTCTAAATGGTGAAAACTAAATAATCGATCAGGTGAATGATTCTTCTGTTTTTATCCATGCTGTGCCGAAGCCACATTTTGTTTAAATGGACGCACTGAAAAAAAGGTGTGTTGAAGTCGAGGAGAAAATTACTCTACTTCTTCTTAAAGTTGTGGTAAATGGACTTGTACCACGCCTTTCGGCATATCTGCATAGGTTATCAGTCTAAGGAGCTACGCGTAAAGGATAAAGGTCACTCTGGACTGAGAAAACATTAGCGTGAGCGAGGAGTGAAGGAGGACATCTATGTCCACTGTGAATGACCATCACGGAACAGCGGGTTTGGCTTGTGAAGCCAACTATTAGCAGCCTACAATTCAGCTTAAAAACAACAACAACAAAAAAACTTACAAAAAACTTAGACGTCCAGTTGCCTTCTTTTTTTCAAACTCCTGAGACCACGCCTTTTAACTCAAGTTCAGCACTCAAGAGTGCTTCCTGTCACAGATCTCATTTACCCAATCACACACACATTAATACAGTGCTTTTTTCTAACATGCACACTCCACTGAATGCATCAGGAGAAACTCGGGTTCAGACCACCAGCTCCTGGTTGGTAGATGACCCACTCTACTACCTGAGCCACAGCAGGTTTATAGAGTCTATAGCGTGGTGTTCACCTTTACGATAATTGTATCTTTTAAAAGAATGAATATAAGGCAAAAAAGGTAACAGAAGTTGCTAAAGAGTGGACTTATACATCCATCAGGTTTTCTGCAGATCCAAGTTTGTTCAGCACATGGTTGTAAAAGACCGTCTTAAGGACTCAACTGGGACTAAATTTTGATTTAAGCCTATTTTCCACCAGCTAAAACTAGTATACCATTTAAAATGACGGTGAATAACAGATGTTCTAGCTTGCATCATGTGCTATCATGTGCTTCTCTTATCTGAAAAAGCTCTGTGGGACATAAAGCATTTCATTTAGGCATATCCCTGTAATGCACCTTGATGGAGCGAAGATCAGCAAGTCTGCATCAGAAAGAACAATTGTGCAGATTTTTTCCCCCTCACCCATTAGTCTGATAAAATTTAATTACCACAATTAAACGTGTGTGCAGGCTTCACACAACCAGGACTTAAAGGTTCAGTGTTTATGTTTTGGGAGAGTGGTGAGAGCGTTCACAGTTTGTCTAAATCAGGCATGTGTAAGATGTGTAAGACACACACTCTGTCACTAACACTGGTACTGTGCCAAGACATTCTGCAGTGTGCCAATAAAGGCAGGAAAGAATAAAACTACTGGCTAGTAAACTGTGAAAACAATGCAGAGTGCAGAAAGAAAAAAAATCCTGTAACAAGAAAACCCCAGGGTTCACATTTTATCAGTTAGGAAGCTGTGAGTGTGTTTGATGCACCTCATTAGCTTGACTGTTATCATTTGAATCTTATTTTACGTGCCAGCATTTGTTTCAGAGCAGTTTGCTGTCGTTACCTGTGGTCCCAGATGTGTAGATGTAGAGAGCGGTGCTCCTGATATGGATGTTGGCCCTGAGGTCCCGGGACAGTGGCTGATCTGAGGCCTTGGAGATCTTGTCAGACAAAGCGGTGATGCCCTGCACACTGCAGCTGTCCGACATGAGGTACACGCTGATACCCCGCTCCCTCAGCGTCGGCAGGACTTCCTCCACAGCATCCTGCAGCTCTACAAATAGACAGTAGCTTTCAGCTCAACACAGCTCGTCATAGCACTGTAAATGTGGCACATGTGCACCTACACATGTGGGCCTGTGTCATGTATCCCCGATCCCACTCGGATACAAGCACATGGGGTGGGAAGTTCAGCTTTCATGCATGCATTTCTTAGTAAAGGCCTTTTAAGTTCTATAATGAGAATGCAAAGAAACACGTCTGCAAGCTGAGATTTTTCTTCCGATGAAGTTGCTCTTCAGTGTGGAGCATAAAGAGCTCCCTTGTTCTTTAATCATTTCTGCTCCTATGTGAAGTATTCTTTTTCCTTTTTGCAAATGTTCATCCGTTCAAAACTGCACTGCCACAGTTGGAACCACCAAAATAGCTTAAACACTGCTTCTCTTCTATGTCTAACCATTATAACCAAACACTGGCGTTCATGTAATTTGTATGAAACGTGCTAATCAAGATCGTATCCCCTCCATATATGCAGATATAGAATAACAATTAATCGATCCAGCAAAAATGCACTTCCTGCACTTCTTTATCTATTTAAGTTTATCCTTACGTCTAACTTTTGGCCGCGACTAAAGCTGATCAATAATAACCTTTAAGCAGAGGTTATTGATTGGGACTGATCTCAAACAAACGTTTAGGTTTATGTCGCAATTTACTCAAAGACCGGCTAGCTCAGTTTTTCCTTTGTGGAAGCACTGAGTTTCTAGCTGGAGGTTTTTATAATTAAGCTGGAAGTACAGCATTCATGTGGCAGGTGGTGCAAAGCAATTTATTTTTATTATTGTCATCCATGTCTTCTAGTTTAATTTACAGACAAAAAAAAAAAACAGGGAGAGAGTCCCTGACGCAGGTTCATTGTGCCAATAAAACTGCGATCATCTGAATAAGTGCACCTTTGTTTGGCATTATCGTTCATCACTAACAGATGATGGAAAAGAGCCAACACTGCACTGTATCTAATCTTAAGAGCGTGAGTCAAAATCTAGTCAGTCTATCGGGTCCTTCCAGCATTTGATCTGATCTCATTATTGCATCATTCAACAATCATTACCTGCAAACTAAATACAGCTGTCAGAGCAATCAGTGCATTTAAGGAATTAATATCCATCTGCGATGCAGTGCGGAATAAAGCTTACTATAAATATAAGACACGAGGAAAGTGGCAGGACAGATGTGACGGGGTGAATTATATTGTCAAGTAGCCTGCAAAGTCTGCACTGAGCAGTATCTGTTTGCATTCATTTATAGAATTAATATAAACTGTTGTTTATAAACTCTTTATTTTAACATCTTTGATGCGTAAAAAGGTTTAATTTAGGATTTGTATTCCCTGTTGGGTAAAACGCTGGAGACTCACGTTTCTCTTCTGCAAGTAATTTCGTGGTCAAAATCATTTTACAAGAAGAATTGACAACATAATAACTGAGGATACTTTCCGTACTTGCACAAAAGCCATGCATTAAGAGGTATCTCTCACTTGCTGTCGAACTTTTAACTTCGCAGTCCTGTGGGAGACGCGTCAAATAACGAGAGCCTCCTCTGGTCCGACGCAATAATTAATTTCTCGCTGTATCTCACCTGAGGAGGCGATGATCACTTTGGCCCCGCAGCAGGAGAAGCAGTGCAACAGGGACTTGGATCTGATGTTGAAGTTGAGCAGGGCAGCCGGGCAGCCCAGCTTCGCCAAACCGAGCCAAGTCCAAATGAAACTGGGCTCGTTCGCAAGGTACAGGGCCACCGTGTCCCCCTCCTTCAGCCGGGCTTCAGCCTGCAGGGCTCGGGCCACCTTGTTGCTCTGTTTGTCCACTTCGCCATAAGTGTACGAGCGACCTTCGAAGTGTACAAAGATCTTTTTGGGGTGCCTCTTCACTGCATCCAAGAAGCAGTCCAATATGCTGTAAAAGGGCTTGATTTTCTTGTATTTGGTTAGTTTGATGCCACATTTAATGCTCCCTAGGATGTACGCGAAATCTTCGCCAAAGTAGGGACAAAACGTGCTGATGTAAAAGAAACAGAGAACTGCCAGTCCGGCCAAGACGCTGAAGCAGATGTACATTTTGCAAAGCGCTGAAAGAATAAGTGGGGAGAGGCAGAGGAGGCGCACACTGTGCTGCTCAGTCAAATTTATGACAAAGTTCACCGTCTCGACCCGGGGCGGTGCTCGGATCTGCCCCGCTGACCCCTCCTTCATTCCGGGGAATATTTTTCAGTTGCCAAATCGAGAATTTCCACTTCCACTTACAACTTAACTGTTGATGTTATGTTGCACCCCCCCCTATTCTATCGTGGTAAAAAGTGGGAAAAGCGAGCAAACAAATCAGTTTGGCTCTTAATTTGGAAGGGGGACTGAATGGATTGTGTTTTAGTACACCAGAACGATTTATGCGAATAATTTCCTCGTAATTATTTCTAAACACAAACAAGTGGGAGAAGACTGAAATCGCATATTAACAAAAACAGTCATAAACGACGGACAGCGAGTCCGTAAATGGAAACCTTCATCATAAATCCGCAATCTGAGCGGTGGTGGGCGTGCACCAGTGCGTCTGCTGATTTATGGGGAGGAGCGCCTCTGCGAGTTACACAAACGCTCGCTTTTTACTCTCTGGTGGAGAAATAACACAAACATCTCGCCGCACCCTGCTACCAAGTCTGCGCTTTCGGGAAATATTTGTGATTTTAGTGTCAGATATTACCGCTGTCCTGCAGATTTGAGGGGTGTGTGAAATTGCTGAGGCTGTTTCAAAGTGTGAAACAGGGTAGTAAACAATGCTTGTTTCCAGTAACAAGCTTGTTTTTCCCAGTAAATCTCTATAATCTGTAATCTGTATTTAAAAAATAGAGATAAGCAGCAACTCATTCAGTGAAAATAGGTCAGGCTTAAAGGGAACACAAAATCTAACTTCACTTGATGTCTTTATAGTGTTTGAAACTAGAGACCGACACCAGAAATCCACCAGGAAAGCTTAATTTACTCATAAAATCAGACTTCTGTTAGCAACCAGAGGAGCCACCCCCTGCTGGCTATTATAAAGAATGCAGCTTTAAGGCCTTAACTTTTCAGATCTGAAGCTTCTCCATAACCAGCAATACTAGTTTGCCTGTTTGAACAGTAGTCATGGCTACTATTCATTGTGGTGAGCTTAGGTGGTGTGTTTGGAAACAACAGGTATTACCAGCTGGTCTAGTCAGTTACTTTCTATTTAATTCATTTAATGTCATGTGTTGTAAAGACCCATCTTTTAGCACATCCTAGCACACCCACTCACTTCACCAGATGCACCTTGTTTAGTTCTCTCACCTTTGATTGGGTGTGGTGCTTGTCCTTAATTGCACTCACCTGTCACACCTTATATAAGGACTGCATTTACTTTTGGCTCACTCTTTCTTCACTCCCACATGGGGCGGCAGCAGAGGTGAGGTTCTGGTTGGGTTTTTGAGTTTATGTATTGTTTAAGGTAATGAGTAACTTAAATCTCTGTTTTCTTTCAGCATTAGCAGTCCATGTGTGTCTTTCCTTCTTTCCTTTATTGATTTGAGAATAAAAGGAGAGCCCTGTGAATGATTAGATGACTGCTTATTCTCATTCTAATCAGATGAGCCCATGATGCTGATTACTTAAACCCTGAGCCTTCCTTCCTTCATAACATCATGCAAAACAAAAATAAATAAATAACTAGTGACGTGGCCCATGTCATCCCGTCAGAAGTCTCACAGATCCACACAACATTCTGCTCAGTGACGTCGCAAACTGTGCGCCAGTGCTGCTGACTACAAACGTTGATGTAGAAATAAAACATATTTGCGAGATTATTCAGCCCCACACCCCCAGTCAGCCAGATCATCACATCAAATAAATATTGTTTGAAGTGACAACGAAAAAAATCCAGAAAATAAAATTGATGATTGTTTTCTGAGGTTCAGGCCAGTAATGATGAAAGTGTATTATCAAATCCCAAGAAGGACCCCAAGCTCACAAAAGAAACTGACTTTTCTGATCCTCTAGCTCAGGTGTGTCGAACTCCAGGCCTCGAGGGCCGGTGTCCTGCAGGTTTTAGATAATACCCTGGGTCAACACACTTGAATCAAATGATTAGTTCATTACCAGGCTTCTGGAGAACTTCAAGACATGTTGAGGAGGTCGTTTAGCCATTTAAATCAGCTGTGTTGGATCAAGGACACATCTAAAACCTGCAGGACACCAGCCCTCGAGGCCTGGAGTTTGACACCTGTGCTCTAGCTCCAGCTGTTCCTGCTGAACTTGTGATTATTATTTCAGCACAAGGTGGCAGTCACACCACAGAGTAACATCAGGCACGGTCCTTTCCACTCTGACAGAGAGATGTGCCCAGGCAACGGTGCAAACTTTGCACCAGTGCCGCTTATTAGAATTATTGATGTGACAGTGAAACATGTTTGCCTCATGTTTTAGCCTGTAAGTAAATAACTTGCACAGTACAGCTTCTGCATCACCCCCTGCTGAAAGCTCATGCTTCACTGAGGTTCAGACCAGAGAAAATGTGATTATAATACCTAATCTGGAGAAGGACCCCTGACCCACAAAGGAAGCACTCTCTGTTATGGTTTCAGCTCCTTGTCCTCCTGTTGAACTCACAGAGCAGCCAACAACCATCTTACGCTTCCTTATCCCCAGCTTAGATGAGTTCACCAAGGCCACCACAGTACAAGGCATTGCTGTGGTTCGATCTTCCCTTCTCTTGAACCAGTTATCATTAATACAGACGAGAGTAGAAAGAAGAAGAAAGCAAAGGGAAACTGTCTATAAGAAAAAAATAATTAATTCTTAAGATCAGTTAAATTTGTACCATGACAAAGATTTTAAAACAAAATAGTCAATTACAAATAAAGA